CAAACCTTGACAGACTTGTGAATATGATTTTTGCCCACAGTGATGGTATAATAATATGTGGTTACATAAACATCAACTATCTTAATATTCCATGATTTAAAATTTTCTCATGTACAAGTACCAATCATTTTTGATGATCCAAAGTCACTAATCTCAGTGTGAAATCATTTCACATAAGATACTCCTCAGTTTCAAGTTCAGATTCACTGAGTAGCACCTCAAAAAAAAACCTTTTATGGGAGTTTCACTGCACTAAAAAGCAAATGGGCTATATGATCTGCTTGTTTTGGCACAATGGAGAAGAAACAGTTAAATGTTTACCTATACAAAGCCTACCAGCCACCTATGTGCTGTACAGTCATGCCTTAAAAGATGTAAATATTTAGCCATGTTGCATTATTCATCTGTTGTGCAACACTGTTATAGCAGCAACTGGAATGCAACTTTATATTGTCTGTGTCACTTTTATTACTACTTAACTGCTTATTCAACAGGTCCCTCTTCTTCTGTTTTTGTAGCTTGTATCAGATATCTAAGCTGCTGGTTTCAGGGTTTAGCCATGTCCCAATGTATACTGCAGTCACCATCTGCAGGGTAAATAGGACAGAAGGACAAAGTGGAGAGATATCTAGGTCTCTCAGAGGAGGTAGTGCTGGGGCATGGTATTTTCCAATGAGAAGAGGCTATGTGGTTATGAAGAAGGGCTGGAGCAGAACAGGTGCAACGGAACTGTTAAACTTGTGCAGGCTGTGCAAAAATATCCTTGTCTATACAACTAGGGCCTTAAACTGTTGGAAAAGAGTTGCATTGGTGGACAAAGCCGAGATTGCGTTCAAGTTTAGTTTCATTCCTATTTTGGCTGAGTAGTAGCAGAGTTGCAGCTGCATTGCCGTGGTGGACAAAAGGCCTAAGTATGAAATCTTGTAACTCGCCTGTCTTAACGGAATTCGTCACACAACTTTAGTGTACACATATTGTGTTCACTGTTTTACTTTGGAGTGCTAAACGTATTTCAACATGTAGCTAAACAGGGCGCCCCTCACTGTAATCGTATTTCAGGATATAATATGAAGACTTCTGGGTCGTATGAGGGGTTGTTTTACCATTCTTAAAAAATGATTATGTTTGAGTGAGTAGAAAATGAGCCGATTACAGTGGATGCACAGTCTAAGACATGAACCGTCTTCACCCGCTCGAATACTGGGGTCGCGGGTTCGAATCCCACTCCAGGTATGGATGTCTGTGTTCGTTTATTGTTTGTATTGTTCTATGTGTAGGCACCAGCCTTGCAACGAGCTGATCCCCGTACAAGGGGTCCTATCGACTATGTATAGGATTAAGAAACTGAAAAAGCAGCCAAGGCCCAAAGCAGAGAGAGAGAGAAGTAAATGAACCTAATTTTCTTTATGTACCAGTTCTTAATACAATAAATTAATGATATATGGGTAATTATTATATTAGTAGATGATATGACATTTGGAATTTACAACAGATTTAATTCAACTCAATTTACAGACCAAATTTACTGCGCAGGCCACATGATTTTGTCGCGCAGCCATTTTGTTATCTTTCAGTCCTATGATAATATGTAACATATCTATGGAGCTGAGGTTCTCACCACAATGTCTATGATGTACATCTGGGCTGTAACGCTGTGTAGTCAGGAGGCAGACCAACAACTCAGAGGGATATATTGCCTTCATCTCTTGGAAGTCACTGATTGCAACACTAGATAAATTCTCATCTCCAATTCACTGAATCAAATTAAAACAACTTCACCACAAATACAATATATTCATTTGTTATAGTGACAAACTGTTTGTATTCCTACGCCCTATAGCTATTCCTGTCTTTTACGCTTATGACGTTCTTCTTCTCGTTGATCACGGCCATCCTTGTGACGCTTGCTGGCACATTTAGCCTGTGTTAAGAATTTTCCCAAGCCAAACGGATCCTCTTCCTTCTCAAACTGAACAGGTCCACTTCTGGTGGCAGTAAGATCAGTACCGCTGAACTCTTTATGAGGCACAAACCGATTTGTTTTGATCAACTTGTCGAGATCATCTCTATACACATCCTTGTCCAAGTTTCGACTAGGGCAGTAGATATGTGCACCAAGGGTGCCACTCTCACGCCACGGTTTATCATACACATTGTATGATTCCTCATCCCCATAGCCAGAGTCCATGCACTGTGTAGTGTTGAACAAACACTGGTCAAACTGAACTTCCCCGCCTCATATGTTCTTGGCTGGCAAACACAGTGCAATCTGTTCACTGATGTCTCGTTCCCATTCACGCTGCAGCTTTGACCTCTTGTATGAAGCAGCTCTTGCAGTGTTGCGATCACGCTGACGACCTTTGTGGCGTTCATAACGCAGCCGATCACGTTTTCTAGCCTCTTCATCTTTATCTGTGGCAGCTGCTTGAGTTCTGATGCCAACCTCTTCCTCTCTGGCCTTCTGCGCAAGTTGCCGCAGATGTTCCTCCTTCTTCTCCCTCTGCTTCTGTGGTAACTTTTTCTGCAGCTGGGCTCGCATCTCCACAGCTTCACGTATCTTTCTATTAGTGATATAAAGGGCCTCTGCCACTTTGGCAACATTCTCATTAATGTGAACCTGCTGCAAGCCACGTCCATCTGCAGCAAGACGTTTGTCTAAAGGGATTGCATACCCCTTAGCATTCTTCCAGTTGGAAATGCATGGTGGAATCTTCCACTCATTCTTTTCTTTAACACTCACCTTTCTTGTTGGAGAATGCAGTACTGGAACAGGCGGTGAGGGAGGTCCACGAGGTATCTTCTTGTTGATTTTAAATTTTGGTGGTTCCATTGGATCTTTCTGGGCCTCTACCATTCGAATGACACGCTGTTTTGCACCTGAATTGTAGGCAGCCCCTTGCCAAAACGGTGTGTAACGGATGTAATGTGCACACCTGACTGGCATAGCAGCTGCTATCTTTGTATGTGTGAGACCTTCCAAGGCAAGACGAGTTTTGTCGGTAGCCTCTCGCACATCATCATCTGATGGTCTCTCCAGGCTTGGATCATCTTCAGCCACCACTTCCGCTGGAAGCAAGTCTGTCAGTTTTGAGTATATTATCTTGTCCTTTGAGTGTCCCTGACATGCCAAAACGGCATACTTTACCTTCCCCTGTGCATCCAACTGAACTGCAAGGGCATTTGATGTGCCTTCTTTTCCTTCTCTACCCATATTCAATGGATATTGGGCCACATGAATCTGTGTAAATGTACCACCATCTCCGAAGCCCATGCTTTCGGTCTTCTTTCCGCGACTAACTTCTCCACCTAATACTCACTTCAACTGCTCTCGGATATTCACCACCGACACCTAACGTCACTGACCAAGTATTGCGCGTCTAGAGAAAAGCCAAAGCTTATATAAAAATACGCAATTCTATTTGGAGGGGGGGAAGCGGCGTTGCCACGTCGCAACCTGCAAGATGCTTTCGCGTGGTTCCAAGGTCATTCCAATGTCATGAGTAGGGCCCGGATCTGTATGCGCTAAAAACACTTAAAATATCCACCAAAAATAAACAATATGCACTTAATAAACAGGTCACTTTATTCAGACTCTCCTATTTACATGTATCATTCACTGAAGAAAGCAGCATCACAATAGGCAACTGGAAGTCTTTCAGTGTTTTCTTAAGACAAACTGCGTCTATTGTCCCAAAATGAGTTTGTAGGCTGAGAATGACCTTTCTACATCAACTGACGTGATTGGACAGTATTTATAAACAGCGCCCAAGGTTCGGAACATTAATTTGGCAAAGGTACCCTAATTCCACTCAAGTATTGACTAATTAACTGAATCTCTTTTAGTCCTGGGTTCGAATTAAACATCATTTTTAACTTGCATTTAATCTTGTCTCCAATTTCGCCTAGTGCGAAATTCAGTGAAGAAGTTGCTTTCTGAACGAGTTGAAGTGAGTCGTGAAGGAGTGCACCACAATATTCTAAGCTCTCAATGGCTTCTGAAACTGTAGAAAAATGTGCATGGATAAAATTCACACCTTGATAAAAAGTATCACTTCCAAACACCACTTTTGCTTCACGGACACATGCATACTCATCTTCAAGTTTTGTAACCACTTCTTTTACTTGATTGAAATTATCCTGATAAAATGAAACTGCGGATAGCCATGTCCCCCACCTAGCTAGGACAGATTGAGGTGGAAGAGGAACCTGAGGTAGGCAATCTTTGTAGAACTGGACACGAGCTGGTGCTTTCAGAAACAGTTTATTCCACTTGCAATTAAACCTTTAACAGCTGGAACCTGTGCAAGGATTTTTTTGCAATATGGTGTCATCCGTGAGCTTCACGGGTTTGGTGTGCTGCTTTCAACATATAGAAATCTCCATCTGTGAGCAATATTAAAGCAAATACCCTCAATTTCAGATGGCCATAGTAGTCACAGAGAATCATTTAGAAATCTTGTTATTGTGCCATGGTTGGTTTTCTTCAGTACTTTGCAAGCTAGAAAGTGAGAGTCGCCGGGTTCGTCTGGAAGTCGCTTACCAACTACGAAATTTCATATGTATCGGCCACATAAATCGGTTGTCTCATCCTTAATTATCCTTAATTTCAAACATATGTGCAGAAATATGCTCTTACGTTTAGAATATGCAATAGCGACCAAAAACCCCCAAAATATGCATTTTCAAAAAATCCGGGCCCTAGTCATGAGAGTAGGACGCTTCTTCGCTTTAATATTTATATTTAAATTTCGTGTTCACATAATAAATGTCTTGTTGGTTGTGCTTTAGTCGTAAATATAAATATATATGGAGAGCTTCACTCAGGACAGCCAATACACGTATCTTGGCTGAGATCTGAAATGAGAACCTCCAGAATATGAGTCTACAGTGTTAGTGCTCTGCCAGTCCATTTGATGTGAAGGTATAATGAATAAAACTGAACACAAAATGTAGGAATGGAATCATACTCATAATTAAAAAAATATAAAAAAAAATCATACTTAGNAATTCATACTTAGTATTTGAACCTCAACCCTCAGTTCCCCAGGCAAACACGCTAACCATTACATCGCACTTGTACTGCTGTCAAGGTGCCATTAATCATTATATATATCAGATACATGCACAGAAACATTCTTTATACTCGCTGTATACTATTATGGAAGAGTTTTGAATACCCATAATATAAAGTTTCTATTTCTTCCTTACAGTAAAAATAACATGACCGTTACAACTGGTCTTCGAATATAAAAAGTAACCGCCTTCTGTTAAACAGGCTTTATGGAAGCTGAAAAAATAAAGTGTACTCGATTGTGTTCCGCCCACACATGTTTCAACTTCGGTAAAAGAAAAATTGCCTGAATAGTTTCTCGAGTCCAACGAAAAATACTGGCATGCATGGAATGGAATTGTGTCTTACTCTCATTAGTTCAAACTGATATTGTGATATGACATTTGGATTACCTTGGAAATCAGAGTCGCAGGTGTATTCCGCGAAGTGGCAACTCAGCCCCC